CTCCTGAAGAGGAGCTATGGGGGCACAAGCTTAAGCTTTGAGGGCTTTGCACTCCCCTGCTTACCAGAGGACCTTTGAAGTCCGGCCCAGCTCCAGCTCTCTCGTGCTTAGCTATAGACCTCTCTTTAGTGTCAGCTGGGAGCAAGAGCAGGTGAGATGGGGCCCTGTTCTTAGGGAGTTCACCAGTTCCAGCTGATGAAGAGGTAGCACAGCCCCGGGGGACCACTGAATAGAACCCAGGGAGCAAGAAACAAGGGCAGGAAGAGCCAGGGAAGATTCCTTAGAGGAGGGGGCTCCAGGCAGAGCCTGAAAGTTTGAGGATGACACCCGCTTCTGCCTGTGCCCCGTTTCCAGCACACAAAGGCTAGCCTGAGAGCCAAACTCTGTGGGTGAGCAGAGTGTGGGAGTGAAGCTGGAGAGTCTGTAAAATCGGGGTCCAGAGGGAGACCGTCCTGGGCCATGGGCCCCATGGGTCATTGTGGTTAGGGACTCATGGCACACATCACTCTAGAACTAGGTCAGACAACAAGAAGGACAAGCAGGCACAGTGCAGAATTTGGAGATCACAGCATGAACTTGTCTCAACTCCAGACCCTGCTTCAGGAACCTGCCCTGGTCCCTGGCTATTCTCCTCTCTAGGTCTGAAGGTCCCAAGAATCTGGACTTTCCCAGATCCAGCCAAGGCTATCCTCCTGGCCTGTCCCAACATATTTGCTCTCTTTCTCACCCTTGCTGGCAGCCTGTTCTATTACTTTTTGCTGTATAACACCCCCAAATGCTTACAAATCTGCAGTTTGGAAGGGCTCAGTGGGGACAGCTTGGCATTAGCTGGAGCCAGGGCATCCACCACCAAGATGGCTTTTTTACTCTCAAAGTTGGCAAATCAGTTACTTTCCACATGGCTTCCCCATAGTGCTACTTGGGTTTCCTCCCAGCATGGAAGAAAAGACTATTCCAGGAATTAGCAAGGTCTGGGTCCAAAAATGAATAGAAAGTCTCTCCTGCCAAATCTATTGGTCAAAACAATCACAGCTTCTGCCTAGATTCAAGGACAGGAGACGGCTCGGCGCCTATAGCTCAACCGGCTAAGGTGCCAGCCACATACACCTAAGGTGGCGGGTTCGAATCCCCAGCCCGGACCCGCCAAAACAACAATGACGGCTGCAACCAAAAAATAG